TACGCCAATCTGGCAGACGGATGGCGGATTGAAGGTTCTGTGGCCGCAACCGACCCGCGTCCATCCCTACTTTTTAGCCTAAGTTAAAATAATCAAAAAGTCAACCCGCATCCCAAATAAGCTCATAGATCTTTTTTTTGAAATGTATAACAGATGGTATGCTTGTATTGAGCCTAATATATTCTAGAACACTCCAGCTACTCAGTAAGAATATTATATGTAGTACAATATCAAATAATTAATTCTCGCCAATTTTAATACATCGGGGCATAAAAATTAAATTAAACTAAACATATATACGTGGGTGTGTGAACCAACAAAATTGTGAATTTCCTTTTAATATGACCTTTCATTTTATTTTATCTTGCTTTAGAATACTCTTGATTAAACAGAAGAGGCATCGAGTCACTACAACTCAATTACATTGTGTGCCAGGCCTAACACAAAAGTCATACCTTTTTTTATTTATTTTCTTCTTCTTTTTTTTCTTTTTTTCTTTTTTTTTTTTTTTTTTTTTGTTGTTGTTGTTGTTGTTGTTGTTGTTTGTTTTTGAGGAAGGAGTTGTTTGACAAATTATTATTATTATTTTTACCAAAATTATTTGTACTAAAAGCATTATTAAGGATTGAATTTGTAAATGTAAACAAAATTGAATTTATATGTTTGTTGGCTAAATCACCCTAGTAGTCATTGCATTTTGTCTCATGTGTCATTTTGATATTCACGCTGTTAATTGACTGGATTTTTTACCCTTATTCTTAGATTTTGTCTCAATTTAAGAGTGGTTTGAGATGATCTAAATAAACGCACTTTTTTCCTTTTTACGAAAAGATGTGCAGAAAAATAGAGAGATGGTGTGATAAAAAAAAGATAAAAAGATAAATTATATAGGGGATGCCAAACCACTCCTTAGACAATGTCGATTAGGTTTTTTGATGAAAAATGGTCATGAAGATGGTTGATGTTGACTTAGTCAAATAAGTTTATAATTTTGTACCTTCAAGGATGACACATGCTAATCTTGTGCATATTTTTCATAAAAAAAGAAAACGTTAATGGTTGTAGTCAATTGGATCTTATTGAGAAAAAATTAAAAATTAAGATCGAATCAATTAAAATTATAGAATCAAAATAACACGAACTAAAATATACGGACTACTGATATAATTCAAACCACTATTTATGAGAATTTATAGCTTAGAGCAATAACCAAACACACATTATCAAATATATATCCAAAATTTTCACATTTTATCTTCCTCTTATCTGTCACTTTTCCTTGTTAGTGTTTTCTTCTTGAGCCCAATATTTTTTTTAATAATTTTTTTATGTAATCAAATAATCTTCTTTATTTTCCTCACAAGTCACAACTAAATGAAAAGAAATAGAAAAAATATGTTTAACTTTCTTGTGAGGCCCCTGAAATATGTATTCACTTTAAAGACCCTAATGTTTGAATTATTTTTTTAAAGTCCTTCGGTTACTTGAATTATTTCAGATCTTGTCAGTTAGCATTTTATTATTTTTATTTTTTTTAGCAAAGCAAGAATTTTTCTAGCCAGATTAGGTTCCCTAACCTAATTTAATTTAATTCTACACGAGTAAGGTTCCAATACATGTATTTAACTCCAAGACCTCACTCTTTAGTTAAATTCAAAACTTACCCCAAAAACTAGTACATGTACCCTTGTACCATATGTACCATCAACCAAGTGAGATATATATATATATATACACCTTGAGGAGTGTGCCCTAGAACCTAAATTAATTAAAAAATAGCCCCTTCACCCTTCCCTAGGGCCGGCCATTCTAGGAGGAAGTGAGGATACAATTTTCTAAGTCTATCGTCATGAAAATCTAGAAACTCACAAACTTAGTAACCTAGACCTAGGATGCTAATTCCAAAACTAGTTTCATTACAACCAAATGTTGCCTAAACCTAAGAGTAAGCCTCCCAAATCATCCCTATTCCTTTAAAACTTCAAACAAATCCTAACATTTCCATCCATTTCCAACTAATGGGCTTTTAGGACTTTTTACATCAAAATTTGTCTATATATACCAACACCCTCCTAGCTTGGCAAACACAAATAACACACTCACACACACTTTCGGCTAGAGAGAGGGAGGAGAGCAAGAGAGAGAAGTCTAGAGAAGAAGAGGGAGGAAGAAGAGAGCCTTCTTGTGCAAAGCTTAGTAGGTAAGCCACAAACACAACCTTCTCTTTCATTTTCCTTTTTTTCAATACATGTTTCTAAGGGTCCTAAATAATGTTTTCAGATCTGTTAGTAATGAGTTCTTATGTTAAAAATGCTAAGGGTTGAGTATTGATTCCATCTCCCTTGTATTTTTCCCATTTTGGCACAAAACCATCTTTTTTTATACCAATCTCTCAACTTTCCGAGGGCACTCTTTCAAGCAAATTTTCTGAGTTAAATATATGTTATTTAGCATGTTTTCTTCACAAAATAAACGAAAACTTTCCCTTGGTGGAACCCTTTTCTCATAAAACTTCTTGTTTTGGGCATGGTACCTTAGAATCTGTTTTTGCAACCCACTTCCAAAATTTCCAGAAAAATGTATAAAATTATTTTGGACCTCCATTTTATGTCAAAATCTTCCTTAAGGAGTTAGCTTTCAACTAAAATTGGTTTCATCGAAAAACACTAAGCGGTTTGCAAGAAAATCAAATTTTCGTAATGGTCGACGGACCTGGACAGAATCTGGACAGCGCTGGAATGTTTTCTAAATAACTTGAAATCCAGAAAAGCAATCCCATTTCCGAAATATGTTCTAGAAACTAGATCAAATTCTCTATGAACCATAGGAAGGCCGAGCCCGGTGAAAGATCTAGAATAGTCCTTTCATTTTAATCTTTATGTGATATTAAATCTGGAAATTTCGTTATGCATGGATGTTTTATGCCCTCGTATTCATGAAAATGTTTATTAGCTTATGATCATATCTTGGCATGATATTGTATGTGTTATGTTATGTTCTTCATCTTTTTCATCTTATTAAGGCATGCTTGTGTGGATATTATTATATTGTTAAGCTGTCTAACCTTGATGTAAAACATTTAACTCAACGGGAAACCTAATGGGGAGGGTATTGGGTTTCGAGCACTTGAGTAATGAAAAGATGAGAATATGTGATATATGGATTGTTGGGATGCGTTCCCTATTTGAAAGTTAAAGTCTTGCGCAAGTGGTTTTCGGAACCCTTGAACGGAGCGGTTGTATTCGGACCCTAGGTGGTTTGGTGTGAGGAGGGATTTGGGCAAGGCCCTATTTTACCGTCTCTTTTGAGGCTCTGCGGTTGTCGCTACGTGGTATATAACCGTTGGTAGGCATCCAAGGTTAGTTTTGCAACAAAGCATCAAAAGAGGGGGCATACCGAATAATCTGCGTCCGATTCTTATGGTTGGGAGGACGAAATCTCTTTGGGGGATTTTTAGTTTACTGACATCTAACTTAACCCTTTATTTATTTATTTGAGTATCATGCTTTACTGCTTGGTGTTATAATTGTGATTGTGTATTAGACTTGGAAAAAAGGGGCACGGTGTGCGTGTGTTTACTGGGCATTCAAAGCTCATGGCGTATCATGCCAGGTGACGAAGCGGAACTTATTGCGGGAGACGACGAGCCGGAAACCTTCAAAGACTTTTGGCTATCTTAGGAAGGCTAGAAATTTCTTTTTGTTATTTTGTAAGACTCATGTGAAGTTTTAAACTTCTTTTTTTTTTTTGGATGTAATGTAATGGAACAATCTTTGAATTAAGTATATTTGTGGCTATTATGTATTTATATTCTATGTATGAACTTTATCTTTGCTTATGAAACCTTGTGTCAATACCTTTCAAGATCTGTAAAAAGGGTAGTGCGCTGCCTAAGAAAGCTGGACTTAGAAGGGAGGCTAATTTGACTCCTCCGGCGATCTGGGATCTTACTTGGTTATTGACCATAGGACTCATTAGTGACTCTCCCTTGACTGCAACCAATAGTGTAGAATCGGGGCGTCACAACTTGGTATCAGAGCATAGGTTCAACCCTTAACCCTCGCAACCCTATATGCAACTCTAGAAGCCCTTACCCCTTATCTTATTCTATCACGCTATTATAAGAAGATTAACTAATGAAAGTCTTTTTCCACCTTAGGATGTCATCGGGAGACTATCCAGGACGTGTCGTCAATCTCGACTCGTGGGATACTTTCCGCATGCAAGGAAGGAGGGCCATGTTTGTTAACCACTATTGTAGCCGCCGACGTTGTATAAGTGCCACCGAGGAAATGATCAGAACCGAGATATGTAAGGTGGAGACGGAGTACTCCCACTATACGAGGGAACAGAAGAGGTCCCTGGTGCGGCATCGTCTACAATTCTTGAGCCGGCCAGTGAAGAAGGCGATCTGAATGGAGCAAAATGATTAGAGGATGGATTTCTTGATACACCAAGCTTTGACCACCAGAGCATACCACCGACCACCGACTCTGGCTGAAAGTCACGCATCTTCTTACTAGGAGCTAGGCGACCATCAACCAATGAATATGGAGCAGTCACCAGAACAGCAAGGAGCAAACCCAGCCTACCCTATCGAGGTGTCATCTGAACACAATCCCCCCTCACCAATGTACACCCCCTGCTCTCCAGACCAAGCCACTGACTCCGCTGATGAAGACCCAGAAGAAGACTTTGATTGGTTGGGAAACGAGAATTAATTCGAGGGATAGTAAAACTAGACTTTTGTAAGATCCGTTGATGGGGATCCTTAGAATAAGATAGCCTGAACTTGTAATGCATAGATGCTCTTTGAATGTAACTCCGATATAGGAGCCCTTTTGTAATGATGCCTATTATAATATATGAATGATATGTTGATCTATGTTATTGACTGTTACTTGCTTTAGTGCACCCTAAGGAAACTGAACCTTTATTTCAAATCTAGGTAATAAGATTTTCTAAGACTGGAAACCAACTCATCACGTGCCATGAACAGAATGGTGGACACGCGAGCTAATGGCTATACCGAAACCAGCAACAATGTACGAAACCGTCCTAGAAATCAACACGGACCCATCCCCGCAGGGGCTGACATTTCCAATAACCTAGGTCATCAAATTTTGGAGGAACTAGGGCAAATAAGGAACAATCGGCAGAATGAGAGGACTCGACTCTTTTCTGAGTTTCGAAAGCAGAGGCCTCCAAAGTTCACAGGTGTGCCGGACCCGAAGGTAGCTGAAAATTGGCTTCGGCAGATAGAGAAAATGCTAGACACCATGGGCATAACCGAGACCGCTGATAGAATAGCTTTGGCAGTATTCAAGCTTGATGATGAGACTGACCATTGGTGGGAGTTAATCAAGAATACTCGTGATGTAGCAAGCCTATCATGGAACCAATTCAGGGAACTATTCCTAAATAAATACTTCCCAAGTACTATCCGCCGAGAACGAGTTAAGGAATTCCAAAACCTGGAACAAGGAAATATGACCGTGACCCAGTATATTGCAAAATTTGAAGAGCTAGCCCGTTACGCAACTAGATACGTAACAAACGATGAAGAGAAAGCAAAGATGTTCGAGTAGGGACTGGACCTTATAATCAGGGAAGAGTTCTTCTGCAACGACTCCCCTTATATGCTGAGGTGCTGGAGACGACATTAGAATCTAAAAGGGAAGTAATCGACGCCAGGAAGGCTTGGAACAAGAGAAAAGGGAGTCAAGCGTCTATTAGACCTCAGAGGAACCAGAAGGGAAGCATGACCTCAAAGCCCTACTCCAGACGATAACCACGACAGCAACCGCAGCAACAGATCTAGAGAGGAGGCTATCAACAAAGGCCGATGGGACAAATCTAGTGCTTTCATTACCAACAATTAGGGCACAAAAAGAGAGAATGCCCCCAACTCCCTCCATCTGGATACCAAGGAAGAGGTTCCGGAGCAAATACCCAGGCATTAGGTGGACAGAAGCCTTGGACGAATAAGACAGGATCTATTGGGCAGCAGCACCAGAAGAGTGGAGGAACTCAGAACACCAAGACCAGTGGCAACCAGAAGGCAACCGGCAGAATCTTTGCCCTGCAAGAAGAAGAAGCGGACCCGTCTGTAATTGAGGGTAATTTAGTACTATACAATTCTTGGGTGCATGTTTTATTTGATACTGGTGCATCACATTCCTTTATATCCTCTGCTTGTGTTAAGTCATTAGAACTTGTATGTAAACCTTTAGCAACTGCCTTAAGTGTAATGTCACCTATGGGAGGATGTGTTCTGGTAGGATCGATCTGTAAGGACTGTAAGATAGAGATGTCAGACCTACGCTTAACTTGCGACCTTCGTGTCATGGAAATGTCGGACTTCGATATCATTTTGGGCATGGACTGGTTGTCCGCCCACCGAGCGGTGATCGACTGTCGTCAGAAGAAAGTGGTAGCTCATACGCAAGATGGAACACGTTTCCTGTTTAAGGGGGATAGACAAGACCCCATGATTGCAACAAAACATAGGACACAGTGGCGCGATCAACTTGCGGGTAGAATAGCAAGTCTGATTCTAAATGAGGAGGGCCAAGGAGAAATAGAACTTCCGCGCGTAGTATGCGATTATGCAGATGTATTTCCTACGGAATTACCAGGATTGCCGCCAACCCGGGAAGTAGACTTTAGCATCGAGCTGCAACCTGGAACTACCCCAATATCCATGGCTCCGTATCGCATGGCACCAGCAGAACTACGAGAATTGAAGACACAACTACAGGAATTGCTTGAGAGAGGATTCACTAGGCCAAGTACTTCGCCATGGGGAGCACCCGTGTTGTTTGCTAAAAAGAAGGATGGGTCGTTGAGGCTATGCATCGATTATTGTTAACTCAATCGAGTCACGATTAAGAACCGATACCCACTCCCAAGGATTGATGACCTTTTCGACCAACTTAGAGGCTCAAGGTGCTATTCAAAGATCGATCTCAGGTCAAGTTACCATTAACTACGAGTCAAGGAGGAGGATATACCAAAGACTGCTTTTCGTACTAGCTATGGCCACTATGAGTTTGTAGTAATGCCCTTTGGATTAACCAATACACCGGCAGTATTCATGAGCCTAATGAATAAGATTTTCAGACCATACCTTGACTAGTTTGTAGTAGTATTCATTGATGACATCTTGGTATATTCAAGGTCTAAAGAAGAGCATGAGCAACATTTAAGGACTGTCCTCCAAATTCTTAGGGATAATCGGCTATATGCCAAGGCGAGTAAATGTGAGTTTTGGTTGAATGAAGTGAATTTCTTAGGGCACGTGGTATCAGAGAATGAGATTGCGGTGGATCCAACCAAGGTGGAGGCAGTATTAGATTTGAGACAACCAAAAATCGTGTCAGAAATCCGCAGCTTCTTAGGATTGGCCAGTTATTACCCGAGGTTCATCTAAGATTTCTCCAAACTAGCTAAACCAATGACTCGTTTGACGTAAAAGGGAGTAAAGCATGAGTGAGGATGAAGCTTGCGAAAAATCCTTCCAAGAGCTAAAGAAGAGGTTAACTAGTGCGCCAATTTTGACCATCCCAGAACGAGAAGAGGGGTACACTGTGTATTGCGATGCGTCTAAAAAAGGGTTAGATTGCGTGCTCATGCAAAATGAAAAGGTAGTTGCATATGGGTCCAAGCAGTTGAAACCTCATGAGCGCAACTACCCCACACATGACTTGGAGTTAGCAGCCGTAGTTTTTGCTCTAAAGCAGTGGCGACATTACCTGTATGGGAAACAATTTGAGATTTTCACAGATCACAAGAGTCTGAAGTATCTATTCACGTAGAAGGACCTTAACTTGAGACAGAGACGATGGATGGAGTATCTTGAGGATTTCCAGTTCACTCTCTCATATCACCCCGGTAAAGCCAATGTAGTAGCAGATGCTCTAAGTCGTAAAAATAAAGGGATGATAGCTAAGATCTTCGTCAAGGAATGGGATATGGTTAAGACACTCAATGAGTTCAGGATCCAAGTGGAATCTCGAGGTACGAAAGCATATCTTAGTGTGCAGAAGGTGATGCCTAAGTTGATGAATGAGGTCATGGAGGCCCAGAAACACGATCAAGAGGTAGCCTACATCAAGGGACGTCTGGAATCAGGAGAGCCCATGCCCGATTGGGTAATTCACCCCGATGGGAGTTTAAGATACCAAGGTAGATTGTTTATACCAAATGACGAGTTACTTAGAGAAAAGGTACTGAAGGAATGTTACCATTCTACATTTGCGGTACATCTAGGAGGGACTAAAATGTACCAAGATTTGAAGAGGCAATATTGGTGGAATGGGATGAAGAAGGAAGTGGCTAAATTTGTAGCAAAATGTCTGACATGCTAACAAGTGAAGGCGGAATATCAGAAACCAGGGGAAATGTTGCAACCTCTACCAATAGCCGAATGGAAGTGGGAGTATGTGACGATGGATTTTGTGACAGGATTGCCTAAGTCACCTAGGGGGCGCGATGCTATATGGGTAATAGTGCACTGTCTCACCAAGTCAGCACATTTCTTACCCTATAAGATGACCGACACTTTAGAGTCTATGTGCAGACCCTACATTGGGGAGATCATTCAACTACATGGAATTCTGGTATCTATTGTGTCAGATTGTGATCCACGATTCACCTCTCGATTTTAAAGGAGCCTGCAGGAAGCTCTTGGTACTGAGTTATGTGTTGGCACTGCCTTTCACCCACAGACAGACGGACAATCTGAACGCACCATCCAGACACTCGAGGATATGTTGAGAGCTTGTGCACTAGATTTTCAAGGGAGTTAGAAATGACACCTACCCCTAATTGAATTCGCCTACAACAACAGCTTTCAAGCTAGCATCGGTATGGCGCCCTTTGAAGCATTATACGGACGACCTTGTAGATCGCCGATTTGTTGGACGGAGGTGGGTGATGCAAATCTGGTAGGACCTGAACTTGTTCTAGAAACTACTAAGAAGGTTAAATTGATCCGACAACGGTTAAAGACTGCTCAGGACCGTCAAAAGAATTATGCAGACAAGAGGAGAAGACCATTGATGTTTGAAGTAGGCAGCCACATGTTCCTAAAGGTGCAACCCAGGTGTGGAGTCGTACGTTTTGGGAGAAAGAGGAAGCTGTCACCACGATATATTGGACCTTTTGAGGTATGAAAGAGTGGGCGAAGTAGCATATAGACTAGCTCTACCCCCGCAGTTAGCAAGAATACACAACGTCTCCCATGTGTTTATGTTGAGAAAATACATCACTGACCCGACACACGTCCTCAAATGGGAAGAGATCAGTCTTGACAAGGATGTTACGTTTAAAGAAGGACCGGTAGCAATACAGGATAGTCGAGAGAAGAACCTTAGAGGCAAGATGGTTCACTTGGTAAAAGTGCTATGGCGTCATCGGGGAATTGAGGAATCTACTTGGGAACGCCAGGATTGGGTGAAGGCAAACTACCCTGAGCTTTTCGGAGGCAGTATGTAGTTGAATTTCGAGGACGAAATTGTTTTAAGGGGGATAGGTTGTGAGGCCCCTGAAATATGTATTCACTTTAAAGACCCTAATGTTTGAATTATTTTCTTAAAACCCCTCGGTTACTTAAATTATTTCAGATCTTGTCGGTTAGCATTTTATTATTATTTTTTTTTAGCAAAACAGGAATTTTTCTAGCCAGATTAGGTTCCCTAACCTAATTTAATTTAATTCTACATGAGTAAGGTTCCAACACATGTATTTAACTCCAAGCCCTCACTCTTTATTTAAATTCAAAATTTACCCCTAAGACTAGTACTTGTACCTTTGTACCATGAGTACCATCAATCAAGAGATATTTATATATGTATACACCTTGAGGAGTGTGTCCTAGAGCCTAAAATTGATAAAAAAAAAAAAAAAATAGCCCTTCACCCTTCCCTAGGGCCAGCCATTCTAGGAGGAAGTGAGGATACAATTTTCTAAGTCTATCATCATGAAAATCTAGAAACTCACCAACCTAGCACCCTAGACCTAGGATGCTAATTCCAAAACTAGTTTCATTACAACTAAATGTTGCTTAAACCTATGAGTAAGCGTCCCAAATCATCCCTATTCCTTTAAAACTTCAAACAAATCCTAACATTTCCATCCATTTCCAACTAATGGGCTTTCAGGACTTTTTACATCAAACATTGTCTATATATACCAACACCCCCTAGCTTGGCAAGCACAAATAACGCACTCACACACACTTTTGGCTAGAGAAAGGGAGGAGAGCAAGAGATAGAAGTCTAGAGAAAAAGAGGGAGGAAGAAGAGAGCTTTCTTGTGCAAAGCTTAGTAGGTAAGCCACAAACACAACCTTCTCTTTCATTTTCCTTTTTTTTCAATACATGTTTCTAAGGGTCCTAAATAATGTTTTCAGATCTGTTAGTAATGAGTTCTTATGTTAAAAATGCTAAGGGTTGAGTATTGATTCCATCTCCCTTGTATTTTTCCCATTTTGGCACAAAACCATCTTTTTTCATACCAATCTCTCAACTTTCCGAGGGCACTCTTTCAAGCAAATTTTCTGAGTTAAATATATGTTATTTAGCATG